AACAGCAGGCAGTTATGATGGGTCTTGAGAGTAAGGAACATCCCCTTTTAAAATTTTGCTCTGAAGCTAGGTGTGTTGGTGCATGCCTATAATCCCAGAGGCTTGGGAGGCTGAAGCAGAATTATTGCAAGTTCAAAGCCAGTCTTAGCAACATAGCAAAGCCCTGTCTTAAAATAAAAATAAAAACAGGCTGAAGATATAGCTTAGTGGTTAAGTGCCACTGGGTTAAATCCCTTGATATAGGGAGAAAAAAAAAAGAATACTGAATGAGGTTATCACTGAGTTTTTGAAGAAAAGAAGGCTTATTTCCAGAGGGCAAGCTACATTCATCAATAGGGAATGCTTAAGGTGATGTAGAGTTTAAAGATTGTTATTTTCCTTGGGTCCAAGTAGATGTCCCTATTCTAATTTTCAGAATCCTGTTCTTTACTATTTAGTGCCCTGTCACAAGAAAACTTTTATAGGATTATGAATTCAATTGTTTCAGCAATATTTAAAATAAAATTTTGCAGCTCGCACATGGCAAATGCTTATAGTCCCAGCATTTGTGGGGCTGAGGCAGTAGAATCACTTGAGCCTAGAAGTTTGAAATCAGCCGGGGCAACATAGTTAGAACTCATCTCAACCCAAACAAAAACAACACACAAAATAAATTTTTAAGTTTGATTTTCAATAAAAATACCCTGATGTCTTTAAGTACTAAAAGATCCTTTTACACTTGTCATGGAAGCCTTCTGTTCTTAGATTGTGACTTGAGCTGAGAGCTGAAAGATGTGAGTTTGGCATTTTATTTTTATAAAGGCTCGAGATCATTCACAAGTATCTATCCCATGCCACTGTCCCTATAGTCATATTAATTGACATTATGATAAAGTGCAGCAAACATTTGCTTTAGTTGATACATAATCATAATCAGAAGATAACACCCCCCGTAAGTCATCATTTTCTAGCATCTCATTTGTTACTGGTTGGGGTTAGAGAAGGAAGCTTAGTTAAAACCAATTTTCAAATTCTATCTTTGTGTGTCTGTTTCTTGGGACCACTCTTGATACCAATTCTGTATCAGTTGAGGTCCAGTCAAGAGACAGAAACCACACAATGTTTTAAACATGCAAGGTTAAGTATAAAGAATCATTACTTATAACCAGGAATTAGAGTAATAAGGTGATAACTAGAAAGGAACAAAGAATATTCTGAAGAATTTAAGAATAACAGAGAGATCAGCCACAACCCTTAGGGTTAAGATAGGCAGTTACTGCTGAAGTCCAGTGAGTGTGGCTCACTGGATGTCAGAGAAATTGTGCTAGGGTTCAAAGCCACCTAAAGAGTGTGAAGAGATGCTGTTTGTGGAGGTTGTATTCATGGTATTCTGCTGCAAAGCCATTTGAGGGGGTTTTAGAGGAAACTGTTCATAGGCTTTGCTTGCAAATTTGCACAAGAGGGTTGCTGGTTAAGTTGTTCATGGAGTGGTGCTACACACAACTGGTCATTGGGCCCTGGTGGAACTGGGTTCTGCAGAAGCAAGGAATGCTGCTAGAACTGAATTCACATTCATTGTAGGGGCCTGCCTAAGTTATTCAGGTAATATCCCAGTCTCCTCTTCTTCCAGTGTCTCTCTACTGCCCTCTACTGATGAAGCTTAATGTCACACCAGCTGGAAAATGTCATACTCATGCTGCAGTGAAAACTTTATTGGACTCTACAAAGCAAGCAAATAGGGGTATATTTGGAGCATTGAAAAATAATTTTATAATTGGCTCAGTGAAAGGCCCATTACCTTTAACTGGAAAAAAATCTCAAAATGATTACTGATTTTCATTGTGGGCTCTGAAAGGCATTTTTTAAAATATTTTTTAGTTGTAGTTGGACACAATACCTTTACTTCACTTATTTATTTTTATGTGGTGCTGAGAATCAAACCCAAGGTCTCGCATGTGCAAGGTGAGTGCTCTACCGCTGAGCAGAAACCCCAGCCCCTGGACACAATATCTTTTTTAATTTTATGTGGTGCTGAGGATCAAACCCAGGGCCTTGCATGTGCTAGGCAAGCACTCTACCACTGAGCCACAATCCCAGCCCTACAAATAGCCTTTTTGAAGAGCTGATAAAAGCCATGGACACTTCCTCTGGATAAATACATTTAGATCAGTGAGATTATAGAAATTGATGGCACACAGGGGTGTTATGATATTGATTATGGGCCAATTAAAGCAAATATTTGCTGCACTTGACCATACATACTCACACAGTCCTATAGACAATTCAGAGGTATGCATATTCTGGATGTCTGTCTCTGAAGCTAGATTAAGAATTTCCTGGATTAGGGCAGCAATTCAAATTTGTTTCAATTTAGTGACATATTCTTAGTTTTTTTTAAGAGAGAGTGAGAGAGAGAGAGAATTTTTTTTTTTTTTTTTTTTTTTTTTTTTAGTTTTTGGAGGACACAGCATCTTTGTTTGTATGTGGTGCTGAGGATCGAACCCGGGCTGCACGCATGTCATGCTAGTGCGCTACCACTTGAGCCACATCCCCAGCCCAACATATTAACATATTCTTAACTTTATTTGAAAGTAGGGTAGGAAATGTAAGATCTCCAAATTCTACTAAACTGTGTTTGCTTTTTAGCAACAAAGACAGCAAACATTTGAAAAATATAGCCAATATTTCTAAATTTGGAGGTAGAAAATTGATGAAAAATCTTTGGGAGAAGAGAGGCTGAATGTCAGTGGAAGAGCAGGCAGTTGTGAAATAATTGCAATATTGGCATTGGGATCAGGACAAGGATAATCATAAACAGAAGGCAAGATTTACCTATTATCACCTGCCATGCTTTGGTAAGATATATGGTAACTTGCCTCCAATATGGGACCAGTGGCCCTTAATTCCTGTTATTCATACATATTTTCTTCCTTCATTGACTCAGGGCTGATCTATGTGACCCAAAGAGCACATTATAGATGACAATATGTGATTTATGAAATTATATTATGGTCTCTTAGATCTCTTGTCCTGGGTGAATCTAGATGCTATGTTGTGAGGACCCTCAAGCAGTCCCTTAAAGAGGCCATGTGGGGAGGAACTGAAGCATCACATAAAAAATAGCACTAATTTGCCAGTGTTATGAGTGAGCCACCTGGAGGGTAGATTTCTAGTACTAATTCAGTCTTGAAGATTACCCAGTATCAGCTGGAATTTTGATTGCATGCCATGAGAGATTCAAACTAGTACTACAGTTCAGCTGCTTCCCAAATTTCTGACCCACAATTTTTTTGAGGTAATTTATTTTGCAACCAATACATCCTTTTAGGTCAAAATTCTCAAAAGGTGAAAAATAGAAAGGATTTGTGTGTTTTATTGCACACACACATACACACACACTTGCCTCCAGCCACATTTCTGGTCAGTGAGATGCTATTTTGCTACAATATTCTCTAAGCATTATAAATCACTAGATTGAAATCGCCAAAGAAATTAGAAGCTTCTATCTTAATCAAATGGTCACTGTAAGTACTGACTAGAAATACAGTTCCTGAAAAGCAGTAAATCCAACTGTCAAACCAGCTTATTCATGTTTCTATTAATATAGAAACTGAAACGTAGATGCATCATTATGGAAGCTATTCTAGGGAAATCACAAAATGTCTGAACTACTGTGTGTACCAAAATTTATGAGTTATTATAAACTAGTGTTTCCAAAGGTGTCACTATTCTGAGAGATCTGGAAATCATTCTCAAGGCTGGTTGAAGGATTCAGGGCTGTTTTATCTGAAAAAGGCATGCAAGGCACTCAATGTTTATTTGAAGGGAATAAGGGGAGACATATTTGAACTGATAAAGAGGGGAAGAGCAGACCTAAAGACAAATGATTGGAATACAGATTTCAACTCATAATGATTATGGCTGTTTAACAATTGATTATGCTTCAGTGGAAACTAGGGTGCTTCTTCTTCCTGGAAAGGTTTAAATCTCTTTTCCCATTTATCTGAAGGATGGTCCTTCAGATAAATGGGAAGAGAGATTCTGGTAGTATTTGAAAGACTGATCTAGATGACCTCTAAGGTTGTTCTTGAAAGTCTTTTCATCTTGAATGTTTCATATTATCCATGAATATTCTTAAATGAGAAAGTTCAGTGTAATGGAAAGACTGAGTATTACAATAGAATCAAAACTATATTTAAAAATTAATAGTTGTGAGACTTTGTGTATCAGACATCCTTTCTGAGCTTCAGTATCCTAACCACTGTTTTGAAACAGGGCTGTTTTGAAAATTCATTAACTGATATATTACTCAAAACACATATTTGGCATTTAAGGCATGCACATATGCTTCTTCCCGCTTTTTTTTTTTTTTTTTTAAGGAGATGTGGTCTTTCTATGTTGCTCAGGCTGGTCTTAAGTTTCTAAGTTCAAGTGATTCCCTGGTTTTAGCCTCATGAATAGCTAAAACTCCAGGCATAGCCACTGCATTGGCTCTTCCTTCCATTTTCTATAAGATGGTTTAAATCAAACATCTGGGACCAATTAAGATTTTTAAAGAACAGTGTTGAAATGAACTAGTTTTCATAGAGTTCCACTGTTGGTTTTCATTTTTTTAAAAAAACAATACACTTGATTGAGATTTGATTAGATGCTTTGTGACACAGCATCTTAAGAAATGAAAAGAATGGAGAAAGTGGAAATGGAAGGAATCAGAAGCCAGATGGCCAACATCACCTCTGAAATCTGCAACTGCAAGATCATCACTTGATTAAAGCCTTTTATCCCAAGACAGCAATCAAATAAACAAATGAAGAAACTCAAATATACCAACACCAAAAGAGCATTTAGCTTCCTGGAAGGTACTCCAAATTTTAGTAAGAAAATTTCACTAACAAACACTTGATTTTCTTTGAATTTTTAAAAGAATCTGGAATCTCATAGAATGAATCAGTATGTGCTTTTCTAGCTGTTCTCTTTCTTACCTTGATGATTAAAAGAATTAGAAATAAACACTCCACAAACACTGGAAATCACGTTTTATTATTTATAAGTAATTTTCTCATTTACCTTGTTAACGAAGATAGCTACCCAAGTGGGCAGAAATTACCCTGAGTTAATAAAATAGTTTCCATGAATTGCATAGTTAATACTATTTAGGTACATTTATTACTATTATAAATCTTTTTTTTTGTTGTTGTTGTTGTTCTTAACACTGTAATGGCTTTATTCAAAAACACAGTTGCACAAAAGTATTAACCTCAAAGTTTAAGGAGAGATTCTTAAAGAACTTAACACACTATGTACATACTGCAATACAAAAAGCATTAAAATAGGACCCCAAACTTCTACAAAATATAACCCCTCCCTAACTTATTTGCATGAAAATACCACCCACAAAGCTAAATAAGTTCTTAAAAGTTATCTGGAGGTTCACTATGTGTTGTTTTCAAACCAAAGAACTCTAATTTTGATCACACAATAAGATGATTGATAAGAAAGTCAACATATACATTCCATTTTAAAAATAAGTATTTTATAATCTGGGCATAGTATGGAATGAAAATTCTTAGAAAAGCAGGGCATATCAATTGTTAAAAAATTAGGAGAGAAAAAGTTAATCTTTTGTATTTTCTGATTCCCCTACTAAATTTATTCCAAGCATTTTATTTCAGTCAGTTGTGCAACTGTTTTAGTTTCTCCACAAATAACCTTTAAAATGCCAAGTCATATATTTTAAACTTAAAAAAAAACAAGCAGCAGCAGTACTACACTCATAATTTAGATATGTCCCAGCAGAGAATAGCTTCAATTAGTTTCCTGACACCAACTTTTAAAAACTTTATAAATATTCAAAACAAAGAAAAAGAAGAAGAAATCAAGAAGAACAAAGCAATTACCATGAACATGGAGCCTCCATGACAAAAACAGAGATGTACTTGTCTATTCATTATATTTTATTTAGTAACCATGTAAGTAAGCACATACTCATACTTATCCCAAATATTCTTCTATTTTAATGGACATTCACTTGAAAATAAGTCTTAATTTTAATATTTAATCCCAAATATTTTTCCAACTGCCTACAATATTCCAATTAAATACTAAATCTGGTAATGCTTTAAAATTATAGGAACAACTAAAGGGTCCACCAAGAAAAATTTTTAAAACTGCGCAGGGTTGGTATCCAAATAATTTGGGATGTCAACTTAAAAATTGACTTAAATGTCTCATTAATTATCAACAGGCAATGAACATGATGCTAATTCAAGAACCCTCCCCTGGTCCTTTACTTTCTTCATCCTACTTATATGGTCTTAAGTGTTGTCAGTCAAGAAAGATTTACAATAAGCAGAGCTTGCTGCCTAAAATTCTATCAATAACAATATTTGTATCTCAGAAAAATCTCAGTTTCTTCCACTCTGTTTAAAACCCAGAAAGATCTGAAAAGGTGGTTGAAGTATAAGACTTTCATAAGGTTTTCTGGGTATACAGAAGTTCCCAGCTTTCTTTTGGGATAGAGAAATGGGAGTCAACAAGAAGGGAAGGTGATCATAAAGAAATTGATGAGAGGAAAACAAATGCATATCTAAAACAAAAATAAACAACCATTGGCATGTCATGATCTGCAGCCTAAAGATCAGATTCACCTGTGTGTCTCACTTAGTATAGGCAATTTTTCCTTCAAAAATAAAATCTTATCAATCACCACAAAATCCATGAATTATATTACTGGTTAGAACCTCCTCCAAATACACAAACTATATTGCTGAATAGAACCTTTATTATTCTGCTTCTACTTTCCAACTTAATTCATGAGACAAAAAAAAAAAAAAAAACACCCGAATATCCTTAGCTATTTTAAAAAAAAGTCAATGCCTTCAAAATAAAGATCCCTGGATCATCTCTAAAAAAAATAATAATCAACTTATTCAGGAGACTACTGTCATTTCATATTACAGATGACTGTAATTTCAGTTAATTTATAAATAACTTTAAAATCTTATGAATGAAATGCACCAAACTTCACCTGTGTAAAAGCAATCATGTTTTAATTATGGACTAAAAATTACTAATACAATGAACTTGAACTAGAAAAATTAAGCTTCTAAATATAATTGCTAGAGAATATCTTAATAGGGGGGAGTGTCAATGAAATTTTTTCTCCACATACAATGATCATTAACAGACTAGTAAATCTTAACTGGAATGATAAGGCAAAACTAGTAAAAGCACACTTTTCTATAAAAAGTTATACATTGTCTTATGTTGGGATAGCTATTGTACATAAAAAAAACAAAGATGTAATCACTCTATTACACACCCAGAAATGCTGAGGAACCTGGTATTAGAATGATCTAGTCATCTTCTTCCTCCCCCCCCAGAACTTCTTCTTCCTCTTCCTCCTCTTCTTCCCCATCTTCAACATCATCATCATCTTCTCTTCTTCATCCTAAATTTCTTCTTTCATCAAGTAAGAAAGGCCCACTTCTTCTTCTCCCTCTCCCAATTCTGATCCTGCTTCATCTTCATCTTCCTCCTCCTCTTCCTCATATACTTCAGGTGGACCAGCTAAATATTCCTCTTCATCTCCATCATCTTCATCTCCATCCTTATCCTCTTCCTCTTCGGAGTCAGGTGCTTCATTATCCTCCTAATCAAATCCATCTAAGTGGACATTTGTGATCTCACAGTTAAACAAGTCAATAAAATAAGTCTTAATTTTAATAGCAATCATTCTTTCACATTTCACATTTCCAATCTGCAACATGTACATGATTTTTCTTTTTTGGTCTGGTTACTAGGGACCAAAACATCAAAATAAAACATAAAAAAGGGCTGGTGATAGGTTCTCTGCCAATGAGCTACATCACCAGCCCTTTTTTATGTTTTATTTTGAGACTGATTGTCCTTACTGTTGAAGCTGGCCTCAAACTTTTGATCCTCCTGCCTCAACCCTCAAGTCGTTGGGATTATAGCTGTATGCCACCATACCTGGCATATTAATTAGTTTATAGCAGTCTCTCACCAACTGTTACTATCTTGTATCCCCTCAATAGTGATTATTTCTATCCCAAATCCCAAGTCAAACACTATCAATATTCTGGGGACCACCCTTTCATACATTGTTATATATACATATTTTGACAAAAATGGTACATTTATTTTTTTATTGTGGCCCATTTCAACAGCATCAGAACATTTTTTTAGGTACTTACTCAAGTAGTTATAAAGTTAAAATCATTTTTGTCTGATATTACATGCCAATATATTTCAAATTAGTCCACTTTTTATTTTTATTTTTTGTATTAGGGATTGAACCCAGAGGCACTTTACCACTGAGCCATATCCCTGTTGAGAGCCACAGCCAAAGGGGCCCCAGCAAACTTCCAGCTGCGACTGATGATTGGCTCACAGCGCCCCAACAACATCTAGCTGATTGGCTCCTCTACGGTGATGTTCATTGGGCTGTTTCCCTGCCCTTTCAGACCCCGGAGCTGCTCATTGGGGGACTTCTTTGGCTCTGCCCTCGCAACCCAGCCAATTGGCCTCAAGAGCAGGAGGATATTGGGAGGTGGTGAGGCTTGTGTTGGGTGAGAGGCTTATGGGAAGCTGGTGGTGGCAGTTGGGCTCTGAGAGTTTTTTCCCTGAGGAGCTGTTTTGTTTGGCATGTGTAGTTCTAAAAATAAAGTTAGTTTCTTTTGACAAGTGGCTCTTGAATTGTGCCCAGCCAGACTGCGGCATATCCCCAGTCCTTTTTATTTTTTATTTTGCATCAGTGCCTCACTAAATTGCTTAGGGCCTTGTTTAATTGCTGAGGCTGGCTTTGAATTTGTGATCCTCCTGCTTTAGTCTCCTAGGATTATAGGTTTGCACCATAGAGCCTGGCATTCATTATAATTTTAATTTTTGTTCACACTAGTGAATATTTGATGGACTCTGCTTTAAATTGCCTAACATTGTGAAATGCACTTTCTGTCTTAATAATTGTTTTTTATTTATTCATTCATTTATTTATACCACCATATTCTTTGTTATTACTGGAGAAAAGAATTCCTTTTTAAATAATTACTAATGTACATTTCAATAGTAATGTACATTTTCTTGTGCCAAGTCAAGATGGTGACATCATGTTTAAAGGATTCCTGGAAGTCTGAGTTACAAACATAAGTGACAGGAGCTGTAGGGATGGCTTAATAGGAACTTGATATAAAAAGTTTTAGAAAAGACAGTCAAGGGTTTATATGATGACATGATGTTGCCACTAAAGACCTAGCTTCTGCCATGCTTGGCATGCAGACTTTCTATTCTTCTGCTTGTTACTTCATGCATGTTGCTACACCTCTAGCATAACATACCTTCAAAAGACAAATGTAGGATAAGGATGAGTTCTGCTCTATGGAGCTTGTCCTAAAAACTTTCCTGGGAACCCCAGTAGTAACTTCAAATTTCATTTCCTTTGCTTGACCTGTGTCATATGGTTGCTCCTAGATGCAAGGAAATGTGAAAAAGTTCAAAAAAATTTTTTTTTTTTTAAATTAACCTAGAATGTTAAGGTTCTGTTTGGGTGACAGGGTAAACAAAGAGTAGAGTTTGCTATAGAAAACCCGATCACAGAAAGCTGTGGTCATTCCATGAATGGCAACAAAGGGGATTTCACTTTTATTTCAGAACAGCACTTGGGAGGGTACCGCTAAGATAGGTAAAATGTCCTACCACAAAAAACAAGGTGGTGTGTATTGGGGGAGAAGAATGGAAGGGATCCTGCTGCATTAGCTGATGACTGGAAATTCTTCCACTTGGGCACTAATCCAGTGGTAGTTTGAAGTCCTTTTTGTATTGAGAAAGAAAAAGACCAACTTCCCCAAATTCCCTGTATTATCAGTTTGCATTCTCCTCTAAGTCGAAGTCTGAAGCAGTGAAAATACACATTAAACAAACTTAAATTTACTGACTCCTAAACCCATGGCGGGCCCCACTGCCGTGTCTCAGGTACCCCTTTCCCGATTAGCCGACCCCTCCATGCAAACAATGCAGAATAAACCAGCAATAAGTTGTGGACTCAATCTCTTTTCCTTTATCAAAGTATCCTAGTTGCAAGGAAATGTGAAAAAGTTTAAATCAACTTCTGTTCCTATATCAACCTGTAAAACGGAAAAATAATACTATCATCCCTCTTCAAGCCCCATTGTACTGAACACACAGTAGTCGGTATTCGATAAGCACTTGTCAACGTTTGTTAAGAGAACCAAGACGAATTTACGTTTGAGAGACTGCCATTCTCCCTAATTATACCTCGCTTTACATGGACAGTTCATTTCCTTTATCAGCATGCAGTTGGGTAGGCAGGACTGTTCCCTAAATGGAGACTCAGAAAGGTTAGCTAGGTTCCCACAAAGCAGAGTGCTCCTTACACGATGTACCCATGGCCTCCCCTCCTGGCATCGTGCTTTGCAGATAGTCGACATTTAAAAAATTTTGAGCAGTTTGAGTCAGCATTAGGGAGGGTATTAACTTTAGCAGAGACAACCCATGGGATGAAGAAGCACTTCCTGCACCTCCAGGGTGTGGTCAACAAGATATGCTAACGTCACCTAAATTGGTGTTGGGGGCCAGGTTGCACCAAGAGCCACCGCATTCAGGCCTCAGCCTACGGCGATGCGCAGCGAGGTTCAGGACGTCCAGTTACCCGCAGTGCAAACACCGCGGGAGGCTGCGGGGCTGACCCGGCCTCGCGCAGGGGCGTTCCGCGCGTGACGCACTTCCGGCTCTGC